AATGGGGTAATCTTGAGATTGCTAGATACCACTCGACTTTCGTTACTGAGACCTGACGGACATCCAGGGCCCTACAGGCAGTTCCAGCCATTTGCCGATGATAAGAATGCCAAAGTTCAGAATGATTGTCTGCACTGGTGCTTGCCTGGTCCGATTGACTCATGGAATGATTTGGTCTTGGAGATGATGGTCAGAGGTTGATGGAGGAACCTCATCAATTGATTTAAACAGTTTTGTTATGGCTGATCTGGGATTTGAACTTCAAGATTCTATATGGTTTTTGAGTGTCTACACAGATGAATCATGGAAATTATGAATTGGAAATGAAAGAGCAACTAAATTTATTGGAGCATCCCATGTTATCCCATGTTCCTCCTGAATATCTTAAACATGAATCTTAGTCATGAATTGATTCTTGTCAATAATTCAAACACAGCGGTTCCTTTGACAATGGTAAAATCTGATACATTAAGCATCCCACTAGGAAAACAATGTCTTGTCATCCAAGTTTTGTTTTAGTTATGTGTTAAGCTTTCCTTTTCTTACCCATTATAAGTGACCTAGAAGTTGCTCATTTTCACAACACTGTGTTTCCCAACAAACTTCTCTTTGTTATTGCCGATACTACAGTTTTTCTGAACAAGGTAGAACAAATTTTGACATAATCAAGCTCAATTTTTTAAATGATACTGATAACCATTAAGGCATCAGGCCAGACAAGTTATTGAAAACTCTACCACTCTCTACCAACCTCAAAAAACTCCGTTAAATTCCTATCCAGGGATCTACCAAAATTGACATTGATCACGTTTCTTGTCCACAAAGAAGAAGCAACCCAGCTCCAACAAGTGCACTCCAACTCATATGTTTAAGTTTCTCAAAAATTGTAAATGCATCGAGGAATCTAATTTGTCTACATGTCAAAGACTCAAAGAATTCATTGCAATTTAATAGAAACTCAAACCTAACAAAAAGTCAGAAACAAAGAAAGAATTCATGCAACTTAAGCTCTTTTCTTATTCAATGTCAAGGACACTGTAAAAAGGTGTAGCAAACATCCTAGACCCGTTAATCATTCAACATTATTCAACAACACAAATTCAATGCTCAAACTGCTACTTATGCAAACAAGTTTTTGCACAACATAACATACTTGATAAAGAAAGAGCCCACAAAAGTTAATGCAACCGTCAACTTTCTTCTACTTGGTTGATGTTGCTGTATCTGGTTTCTTCTCCTGTGGTTTAAGGAATCGATCCTGCAAATTTCGCATATAGTTCAAGAAATGTAAGAGATGGCAAACAACACGTCATATTTGACAATCCAAAGAAGACATTACATCCAGCTAAATGGCCATCAAATGAACTTTAGAATGGGAAAAGGCTTTTGTCAATCTCTTTTAAATTGCAACATGGATCACCATTTTCAATGTCCAACTTAATTTTTTTCATTCACTTTTTTAACATTTCAGGTATAAAAGAAACTCCAACTTGGTTCAAACTAGCAGCCCTTGTACTAAACACAAAGTTCTAATTTTGAAGACAAACCCCTTTTCTTGCTGGAAACAAAGATTCAAGACTACCCTTGGAAAGCCATTTATATATATATCTATAAAAAAAAACAAATGTTGCTCCATCTTCTCCAATTAAACAACATAACAAGATTTACCATTCAAGCTTAGCCAAGAAAGAATAGAAAACTGGCAATCCAAAAACTTGAAAAAAAGAAGCAATTTCTCTATTCAACCACTAAGAAGCTTAATCAATTCCAGGACAGGAAATTATAGATATATACAATCATCAAAAGCAATTAAATTGCCCAACAACATCATAATTCATAAAACACCATAAAATTATATGAATCAAGATATGCATAGTTATTTATTAAAAAAAAAATTGATTAAAAATAAAAATATCATGACCCAATAGATTCATTCTCTGGTAAAGATAAGAGTAAGAATATATAACAGCAGAGGAAATTACATTCTCAACGAAGAGGAAGTTAGCGACGACGACAGCTGCCGTGATCCCTCCGAGGATGGCGACCGGACCCGTCAGCAGACTCCATTTTCTGTATATCATCTCTGCCCTCTTCTCCTTTCCTGCTTTCTTCTCCAAATAAGAATTTCTCTTTTTCCACTAAACAAAAGGATCACGTGCAAAATCAAAATGTCATTCCACTGGGTTGGGCTCCGTCTCATATAAATTCCATTGTAAAAAAACTAGGCTCAATCCAACCCAATCATAAAGTCGTCTCCATTCCAGCCCAATTCTTTAAAAAAAATTTCGGGTTCTACTTGGGATTCAGGTATCCACTTCAAAAGAAATTTGTCTAAAATTACTTATAGGTGGCAGTGTTAAGAGTCGTAGGTGCCTACCCTAGAAGAAAACTTGCCTAAAATTAGTTATAGGTGGTTGTGTTATTGATGTGAGATGGATCCATAAAGAAGGGTGCTCCGCTGTAATCCAAAAAGGATTGGTGTAAATATTTAGTAAAAAAGTGAAATAAAAATATAATTATGCACACAAGATACAGAAATTAGTTGAATTGATTGTATTTATATTATATTTTTAATGTGTTAAAAAATGTATTAAACCAAAAATACACTAATCATTTTTTAAGAAAAAAAAGGTGGTAGGTTATAAAATAGTCAAAAGGCATGGAAATAAGGATACCGTTTCAAACATTTTAGCTAGAAAGACATGCCTCATTCGC